TTATACGTTATTTCAAAACTACTCAAATTTGGGTAGAATCCTCCCAGATCGATCACAACAGAATCTACTCAAAAATCGGTAAAATATGTTGGGAGTGACAAGCTGACACATGAGCGACATTGGCATGGATCCAACCGACGTTGTTCAATTGTTAACCTGTCACTCCCAACATAGTTGACCCATGTTTTGATCGATTCAGTTTTGACAATTTCAGTTGTGTGTGTGTGTGTGTGTGTGTGTGTGTGTGTGTGTGTGTGTGTGTGTGTGTGTGTGTGTGTGTGTGTGTGTGTGTGTGTGTGTGTGTGTGTGTGTGTGTGTGTGTGTGTGTGTGTGTGTGTGTGTGTGTGTGTGTGTGTGTGTGTGTGTGTGTGTGTGTGTGTGTGTGTGTGTGTGTGTGTGTGTGTGTGTGTGTGTGTGTGTGTGTGTGTGTGTGTGTGTGTGTGTGTGTGTGTGTGTGTGTGTGTGTGTGTGTGTGTGTGTGTGTGTATTCAATCTAACCCCCACTGGCCGGCAGTGGTATTATGGAAGAAATTTGCTTACAACAATCCTTGATGTAATAATTTAAAGCAAGTTTAGTCCGGGAGTTAGAAAGCGATAGCTCTACTGCAGATTCAGCAACCCATTTCAGAATGCCTGGTAATTCACGTCCATTCCGAGGTTGCTTTCACATACAATAAGCCCCGCATGTAAACACTACCGTTATCATATGAATAATGGTACTGCAAACACACTTCCAGATTTCGAAATGTGATGTTTCGAAATCTGGCGCGTATTTAGTAATATATGGAAATACGCATTTATGATTGATTATAAATCAGATGGATCTTACCAAATTCTGCCTCCGAAAAAGGACCGGTTTGTTCACTCGCGATAATCGAAAAAATCTTCCGCGTTGTTTTTATAACCCAACACGACATTTTGAATCACTTTCGATGTTTTTCATTTGTACCGAATTTTTGCTTGACACCTCATTTGCGTGCATCCTCCGGAAGGCAGACCACCAGCACCAAGAAAAAAGAATACCCGGTTAAACTCTTCTTGGGAGGGAGGCAAAGCACCAAAAACAAGCGAAATGAAAAACCGACGCGACACCACAGGTACACAGCTACTCGAAACAAATTCTTGTCCCAGATTTTTCGAAAAAAAAAACTTCTTAAGACGTGATAGATCTTTATTTACACTTATCCACACGCGAAAACTAATATTTGTTTGATTTGGTACAATTAAAAAATATGCGCAAAACAGATGAAATCAGCGCCAGCGAAAACAAAACCAACCGTTCGCGGGCAGAGCCTACTGCGTTTCATTCAGTTTTGACAATTTCAGTTTAACTCAAATTTGGGTAGTTTTCAAACAGCGTGCACTGAGCATGCAACCAAATATATGGTTTTCTTTCATAAGGGCCAATTTCACAAACGTAAACACTGACTTTTCCACGAACTTCTTGAGAATGAAAACTCGCTGAAAGTAAGGCACCATGATGCTTGTGTGTAGGGAAAGTCCCCATAGCTGATAGAATTGCTGGGTTACATGGATTGACTTTGAATTACAAGATATTTACGAAAGAAGCCGACGTTTCCGACATTGGCCCATATGAAGACTCAGTGTCGAATCACGAAAATTTAATTTTGACTCATCGATGTCCAGTTATACCACTGAGGAAACACAAAAAAAAGGGGTCAACTTTTAGTCAGCAGTTTTGCATGAAGTTCCACATATGTTATGTGATACAAGTGATACAAATAGCTCACATTTACAAGACGCTGAACTAGCAGAACGCTCATCAAAGTACATGGATTTAGGTATCAATTTCGTTTGGAAGGAGCTAGGTAGGAAACTGGTTTCTGAAGCCTCCTTCAGATACTACTCTCGGACGGTTGACCAAATCCTGGCTGGGCAGGGGCAAGTAGCACCCCAAGCACAATAAGTTGCTGCAACTTGAATGTGACTGGAATGAGTTAAATACAGGTAACCACAACTTTACAGTGACAAGTGTGCTGCTAGGGACAGAAACAGGAGGATAATAAGACTAGGACACAATGGCTGGAAATTGTTTTGAAAAGAAGGGGATTTTCACATCAAACTCTAACATCAGACAAACAAAGAAATTCGAAGATCTTGCATGTAGGGAAGATCACGGGTTCCCAATACATCTCTTTCTTCACGGAAGGGTTGTCTACCTCGGTCCACTAGGGTATCCAACAGTCGTGCTCTGGAGGCGTCATTACCCGGGCAATACCAAACTACGTGATCGATGTCACCATAACCGGTTCTACACCTACATATATTGCTGTCAACAAGGTTTGTTCTATAAAGATGTGCGTCTAGCTAGTAGTGGTTGGACATAAGTCTTGACATCACGCGAATGAAGTCCCGACTTACATCCAGGCCTTTGAACCACGCTCTCGAAGAAACATTTGGAGTAATGGAATGTAACCACCGCCCAAGAGAACTCTCTCGCAAAGGTGGCCTTGTTGTGCGGCCACCTTTGCGAGAGAGTCTGCCTTCTCATTGCCTGCGATTGAGCAATGTGAGGGGACCCATACAAAGGTAATCCTATATGATCTTTCGACCAGCAAAGTCATCTGCTCCCTTACATTTGAAAGGAAATAAGATGAGTGCCTACCTTGTTTCATCGATCGAATAGCCTCAATCGAACTGAGACTATCCGAGAAGATGAAGTAATGATCTGTGGGCATGTCGGAAATCATCCCCAATGCGAAGTTGATTGCTGATAGCTCAGCAACATAAACGGAACAAGGTTCCTGAAGTTTCCGGAAGGCGGTTGAGATGTCTCGGTTGTTGGGTTCGGAGGAGCAGGCAGGAAGATTGGAGAATCTGTCGTTGCACATGTGAGGTCGAACACAGCTTTCTTCAATTCGATCTCTGAATTTCTCTTCACTCCAAACATAACAACCAAACTTCCGGATTGTATAAGCAATTGGAAAATTACAGAGTGGATTGATCTCGCCGATCCTCTCTTCAATCACACGGCCAAGGTGGAAATTCTTTTTGGCATCTTGGATTGGGACAAAATGATGTTGAGTCACACCTACAAACTTTCGGATGGTAAACCAACTATTCGTCAAACCGTATTCGACTGGGTTGCTGGAGGTCCTGTAACCAAAAGGAACAACTTCCCTATTGTACAAGCTCTTCCGGTAACCAACGAGCAGTTAAACGAACAACTCGTAAAATTCTGGCAGCTGGAGAGCTATGGTCAAGAACGAATCTATTTTACCGACGAACAACAGGCTGAAGATCACTTCATGTCGACACATCATCGTGAAGAATCTGTTCGTTACGTTGTCGCTCTGCCATTCAAGGACATCGACACGGAATTGGGGGATTCTAGTCACATGACTCATCGTAGACTTCTCCTCCTCGAAAAAAGATTGATGAAGGATCAACACTTGAACTCAGAGTACCGAAAGTTCAACCAAGAGTACATAGACTTGGGGCATATGAAAAAGGTCAGCACATTCGATCCCTTCGATCCTTCAAAGGAAACGTGCTTTTTATGCCACATCATGCCGTCCAAAGACCGGAAAGTAGTACGACGAAGGTTAGAGTAGTTTTCGATGCGTCATCGAAAAGTAGCAATAAATTATCGTTAAATGATCATCTAATAGTGAGTCCAACCCTGCAGCCCCATCTAGTGTACATTCTTCTTGGTTTTCGAGTCCACAAGGTCGTCGCAACAACAGATGTTTCGAAAATGTTCCGGCAAATGCTTATTCGGAAGAAAGATCGTCGATTCTTGTACATTCTGTGGAAATCCAGTCCCGAGGATGAAATTTGCATCTATCAACTCACTACTGTGACGAACGGTACAGCTTGCGTGCCCTACCAAGCCACCAAGTACATTGTTCCAAATATGTGCAGACGAAGCCGAAAAATTTCCATTAGCTGCACAATTTGGGAAAAATCTGTGTATGTCGACGATGCATTGTTCGGTGCTGAGACAGTGGAGAAAGTTTTGGATATGCGGAGACAGTTCGAAGGCATGCTGGTAACGGCCGGATTCGACTTGCACAAGTGAAGAAGTATTGGCGGATCTTCCTATCGAAAAACTGGAGCAGAAGTTGCTGTTTAGCGAAGAAGGGCGTACAAAAACACTTGGGTTAACCTGGAAACCCGCTCAAGACATCTTTAGTTTCGAGATCCCGTTAGCAGCATTCAGCAAAGGAGTTCCCACAAAGCAGAAGGTACTGTCCGAAATTTCCAAATTATCCGATCCGCTTGGCCTCGCTAGGCCAGTACTGATAGCAGGAAAATTGCTGATGCAAGAACTATGGAGACAGAAGCAAAACTGGGATCAAGCGTTGCATCCAGAACAAGAACAGCTATGGAACGAGTATCGACGTCAACTGCACACGATCGAAACTGCCAGGATCAGCCGCTGTGTGCTTCCTCTCGAGAACACGAACTGTGTCGAACTATTAGGGTTTAGTGATGCGTCCAATAAGGGCTATGGGGTTTGTCTGTATCTCAGGTCACGAAATGTCGAAGGTCAAATTTCAATTTAATGTGTGTACTCAAGGCCAATCGAGCCACGATTCTGCGCTTAGAACTTTGTGGAGCCGTTCTGCTCGATCAATTAGTCCATCAAGTAACACGATCCCTACCAGTTGAAATCAAGCAAGTCAGACTTTGGAGTGATTCAACAATTGCACTTAGCTAGATAAACACCTGCCCCAGCAAAATAGACGTATTCGTATCCAATCGAGTCGTCAAAATTTTGAAGTTCACCAAACCTGGTGACTGGTCTCATGGTCACGAAAATCCCACTGATTTGATCTCACGCTGAATCATGCCAGACGAACTGAGGACAGCCAAATTCTGGTGGAAAGGTCCACCATTCCTGAAGAATCCCGACAAAAGCTGGCCAACGGACGTAGAACAAGTTCCTGAGCAACGTCTTCCCGATGCCAATCACTGCCTTGCCTGTGTTGGTTGAGAGGTTCCAGCTATTCAACGACTGCAGCAGTTACAACACTATGGTTCGAGTCATAGCACGGATCGAGCGGCTGTTCCAAAACCACAAGCGCCGCTCAGAAGAAAGGCTCTACAGAGAGTTCACCAACGAAGAGATTCGGCAAGCCATGCTGACACTCGTTCGTCTCGTCCAGTTGGAATCCTTTCCGGAAGTATTCGCCCAATTGCAGAAACAGGTAAAGATAAAGAACAGCTCACTCATATCGCTCTCTCCCTTCGTAGACCTCAACGGTGTCCTCAGGGTCAGAGGACGCCTAGCGAAGAAGACCTGCTCGTTCGATCAGAAGTACCAGATGATCCTACCGTCAAGCCACCCCTTCACCACTGCCATCATCCGCCGTTCGGTACATAAGCTCAATATGCACGCAGGCGCATTAACCACTTTGTGTGCCATCCGAAGGGAGTACTGGATCATTCATGCGAAAAATGCCGTCAAGAAGGCCATTCAAGAGTGCATACGATGCTCCAAGAACAACGTACGCCCAATACAACCGAACATGGGTGATCTGCCAGTCTGTCGTTTGGAGGGAGAGTACCCGTTCTATCGTGCTGGCATCGATCTCTGCGGGCCAATCTCGATCAAACAACGCAACAAACGATCGACCATCGTTCACAATGGCTGGAGTGTGCTGTTCATTTGTCTCGAGACAAAGGCCATCTATCTCGAGATCATCAGTGAGCTGTCCACCGGAGCATTTATGGCAGCTTTTGATCGGTTTGTCAGTCGACGAGGCAAACCAGCAACCGTTTGGACCGACAACGGTACAAACTTCGTCGGTACAGCGAACGTACTCGACGAATGGAAATCCTTTTTCGACAGTATCGATAACCAAGACGGTATTCGACGAGCAGGTAACGAAATTGAGTGGCGATTCAATCCCCCAGAGGCTCCGCAATTCGGTGGAATCTGGGAGGGAACATTCGACAGACCAAATCCTTGCTGGTGAAACACACAGCAGGCGCAACCCTTTGTTTCGATGAGCTATCAACTGTATTGGCACGTATCGAAGCGGTGTTGAACTCTCGGTCTATCACACCGCTATCCGACGACTCAGAGGACTTCGAGCCAATAGCTCCGGGTCACTTTTTGATCTTCAGACCATTGACAGCTATAAGCCGTCCGCAAGTCAGCGATTGAGCCAAACACCCGAGATTGCGTTTCGAGCAAATCACCCAAATTATCCAGCACTTTTGGGATCGCTGGAGTTCCGAGTACCTATCGTCGCTACAACAAAGTTACAAATGGCATACACGGATTGAAGTTAAGATTGTACAACTTGTACTAATCGAGAAGCACAACTTGCCAGTGCAACAATGGTTGCTTGGTCGAATTATCGAATTGTTTCCTGGCTCCGATGGAGTTGCGAGAGTAGTCAACGTCAAAACCAAGAATGGAATCCTGCGAAGACCTGTTTCGAAACATGTTTTATCGCCTGTACCCAGTAACGGTTTTAGTAATTGACGGTACGTAATAATGACAATATCCTCTTACGTTTTTAAAATGAAAAACTCCGCTTGATCGGAACGGTACACAGTGTATGGAAGCCGGATAAAACCTCGAAAATCAAGTTATATGTTTTATGTTTCTTATACTTAAATTAGGATGTTCTCAAATTTTCAAGTCAATTCAATGAAAATTGAGCACTGGAGATGTTTTTGAATTTGATTGAATGAGTACGACTTTTGAAATCATAAGTTCTACCTCCATGATTGTTGCTTCCACCACTTTTCCGAGTATTTCAATATCTCATTTGTCTCACTCCATTGTATAACTGAACATGAATACCAATGAACTCATCCACGTACCCTATATTGTTCACCCTGATGGCCTAGGATGTGAACCAACCGTACCAAATTATCACCCAGATTGTATTTTTCTCTCATTGAATACCCCCATAGAAATTTCCCTTCTACCCTATTGTCCCCCCCCCCCCTCCCGGGTCCGATTGTATACCAATTGTGTCAGTCCCGACGAGCCAAAGCCAGCATACATATTCCGAGAGAATAATGATCACGGTCGAGCATCGAACGAGATGTGAGAAAAGATTTATTTAATGACAGTTTCCTATCAATTTAAGCCCCATTCATTTAAATAGAGACACATGATGATCATTTTGTCGTGTTGTGCTCACGTCTGTCCTCTCCCACTGCCGCGCGCCGTCAACCTGCAGCCAAAGCCGACACTCCAATTGGCATCATTGCCAACACAGTACGATGCCTCTCTTCTGCCGCTTTGGCCCGATCGATGTGATTCGCATTCACACGTTCGTTCCCAACCATCAGCAGCCCCCCAATGGGAAAGAGTGTGCAGGTCGGGGCGCTTGTTGCCTTCTCGTATTATTATTTTCAGACAGCCCCCTCTTCGCTTCGACGGAACGGTTGCCTTCAATTCGACGGCAATCAATTTTAATGAAATCTCGCACAGTATTGTTTTTATTTGAATCATTAATTATATAGTTCCTTCACGATTTCCTCCTCCTCCTCCCAGTCAGTGTGTATTTATATGATGCTTGAATGTACGCTGCTTCTGCTGCTGCAGTGGGATGCCGGTTTGGGATTTGAGCATCCCAGCCACAGAAGGGGAAACAACACAGAAACTTTTGTGACTGATTGTCTATCTCAGTTTATAATACTAGCTTTTCGGAATCTCGACGGCGGCGGCGGAGTGCTCCGGAGCCGGAATTAAAAAAAAAAATAAACGACTCGAAATTGAAAGCAAGTTGGATTTCAATGGGAGTATGGATCGTTTCGTTAACGAGCCCGTTCTATCTGGGTATAGCAGTAAATGCTGCGGTGTGCGGTGCACGCGGGACTGATTGAGAATCGGACCACTCAACTCGTTCGGGGCGGCCCGCTGAAGGAATCCATCCATCCGTCGATGAGCATCAATTGTAGATTCGGTACAACAGAGGTGCTCGAGGGTACAAATGAAGCACTTGGGAGTTTCGGTTCGGTTTGGTTGGTACTTGCCAACTAAGGTAATTTCAGTTGACTGACGGGAGTATCTTCCTGAATCGATAAAACCGTTGGTGATTGTGATGGTTTTGATGAGTGAAGTTTAATCAAGATGTGAGGAGTATTTGAAGAATTCATCGATTGTATGCTTTTATGAACTACCAGATGCCACCTTCGAGAAGTCTTTGAGTTCTCATGGTCTGTATGGACGTTAGATCAAATTACATTGAACTAAAGCAGTCAGGCATCCATGAGTAACCAGCTCCTAAGATTTTTTTTGTCCAAATTCAAAGTGCCGCAGTTCCGTGGATAATTACTGGTTTCGATGTATCTGCGAGCATTCGACGAGGGCAATATTCTACGTCAATCTATCCAGCGGGACAAAATTAACGAATTTCAAAGTTGATACGTGTTTGCAATGTACCAATAGCGTACCATAGCGTACCTTCAAGGAGTTTGAACGTACCTCAAAGCTTCCCGGAAAACCCGTGTCCCGCTGGATAGACATACGATTTCAGCAATGACCGAGTCGATCGACCAGATTTCTACGGAAATGTGACGTACCAAATCCGTACTTTACGAATCTGTCATTCATTTTTAACGTACCTCTTATTTTCACTTAAATGCTTATACTAAACTTTTTAAATCGTTTTATATATGAATTTTGGGCACGGAATTGAATTCTTCAGAAAATTTAAGCCCAATTTCATATAAAAAACACTATACTTAAGTTCATTCTAGCCAATTTGAGGACCAAAAACAGTTTTTTTTTAATTTGCATCCTTCGAACAAAACCGTTAATTTCATGAATAATTATGGAGACGCACGGTGCTGCTTGGAAAACTCCATCATAAAAAAAGTCTTGATAACTTTCTGATCGATCATGACCAACGTACCTAACTGGAATTCACTTTCTAATAGAATTTACCAGTGATTTAAATAAAAAAAATAATATTGTTTTAAAAATTACATTTTTTTCAATGATACATTAGAGAAAACCTGATCAAATGATCAGATATCCATCAGAAATTATTATATCTGATCATTTGAGTTCATCATGAGAACTTTAAATAGCAATCAGATCAGATCTTTCTCTAAAATGCATATAAAATGTGTTTGATAGAGCAATTGATATGTTTTGTACCATTTCCGCCTAGTTCCATTGTAGAAAACCGCTACATTCAAAATGAATAACTAGCACTTTAAAGTAGTTCCGTATCACCTGCATTCAATAAAAACAAAACATCATCACGTTTTTAGCTACTGAACCGGAACGTAGGTGTCACCACAATACATTTTGTTTTGCATTGATCTCCTATGGCTCATACCGTAGTAGGCTGTGTATAAAAGAAAATGATTTACTTAGTTTGACAGTTGCACCATGACGAAGTGGCAGCGTATTCGTGATTTGTCCCACGCGCGAATGTCGCAAAAAGACATTTCATTCGCCGTGGGAGTGTCCCGGTGGACCTTCAAAAGGGTTTTAGACCGAGAAAAGAAAGGACAACTATCCGCGAAGGTGGCCACAGGTCGTCCGAGGTCAGCTCGGGTTCCGAGGGTTATCGCTGCTATCAAAAGGAAGATTCGGGTGAATCCAGTGCGTTCAATAAGGAAAATGGCAAAGTAAAACGGGATCAGTGACTTTACGGCACGGAAGATCGTAAAGGAAGATTGCGGGGCGAAGTCGAGGGCACGGAAAAAAAACTCACATGATTACCAACCGCATCCGGGAGCTACGAGTCGAACGATGCAAGAAAATCTTGAACTTCCTTAAGCGAAAAAATCCGGTAATCCTGTTCACCGACGAGAGCATGTTTACCGTCGATCCCGTATCAAATTCCAGAACCGACCGTTATATTAGTTCTCTTCCGGTAAAAGACGTGGCCGACGAGCACAAGAACGTGTATCTGACCAAGCATCCTGCTAGCGTTATGGAGTTTGGATTGGTGGCTTCCGATGGCAAAAAAATGGACACGGTGTTCATTCCAGAAGGCGAAAAGGTCAACACGGAGGTCTACATAAGTATAAGTAAGCATATTCTTCCGTGGATCAAAGAACAGTACGGTCCGAAGCCAAATGTTGTATTTCAACAAGATGGGGCTCCGTGTCACACTTCGAACCGCACTCAGAAGTGGTTGCAGGAACATCTTCCGTTCTTGGCGAAGGATATGTGGCCGCCATCCAGCCCCGATCTTAATCCGCTGGATTACTCAATTTGGCGCGACATGAAGGCCAAGGCCTGTTCTAAACGCCACCCGAGTACAGCAAGCCTCAGACAAACATTGACCCGTACCTGGAGAGAAATGAATCCAGACTACATTATTAGAACCTGCCGTGCATTCCGGAAACGTGTGGAAGCCGTAATTGCAGCAAGGGGAAACTCGATCGATGATTAACATAGTTTAAGACTCTGAGAAACATCCCCCTTTGAATAAATAAAAAAAATCATAAACGAAATTTTTGAGAATTCTTTTAATTTTGACATTGCTTAATGGTGCAAACATCTTCAACTATGTAAATCGGTAACTTCACGCATTACCACTTAAGTCTGTAATTTGATATTAGCATCTTCAACTATGTAAATCGTTAACTTCACGCAGAAGTAATACAAACAAATAGCTAAATTATTTAGTGGAAGATCATTCATACATTTTGGTTTCATACAGAATTTCTATAATTCATATTACCTATATTTCCTATGCAAACGCTGATTGAAACAAACGTTATGACGTCACCACGAGCGTGCTTGAGCGCTGGTTCAACAATAGAGGTAACTCTAAGACTAGTAGGTCCCGAAGAAACAAGCTCATATATTTGGCTCAGCTTTGGTACTATCTTCGATCCCAAGCTAATCGATACACCCCCCCCGAAACACAGGAAAATCCACGAACCCCTCATTTTATCGTTCAAACTTTCAAAGCAAATCAAAACAAACATTGTGTAGTACTAGAATTTCGACTAGAATGGGGTACGTTAATCGATTTGCTTGGGA